TTATAATTCAGTTTGGTCTTTAATTAATTATTAAACATAATTACACAAAAATGCCAATCTTCAAAAATTATATTAATAAAAATAATTCTCTCAATATTATTCTTTAAACAATCATGTCTTTTCTAAGTACTATTATGAAATTCCAATTTATCTCATTATTTTTTTATCAAGCTTTTAAAAATATCCTCAGATGTCTTTAAAAATTATATATCTTCAAAAATTATATTAATAAAAATAATTCTCTCAATATTATTCTTTAAACAATCACTTTTATTCTTTCAATTATAATCAAATTCTCGTTTAATTATTAAGTAAACTTATTAAAATAACTTTTTGGAAGATTATTAAATAAAATTTTCGGAAGATTTATAATTTTTAGTTAAAAACTCTTGTTATTTGTAAAAATTTCTAATAAAAATAATTTTATTTAATTTAAAAATGTAATTATTATTTGATTATTTTATTATTACTTTCAGCCTCATTAACTTCACATGTCTCACTAATAGAAGATAAAGCTACATATGAAAACTTTTTTGAAGATGTAAATTTTTTGTCAGCTTGTCATATGATTAAAATTATGATGCAAGAAGATAGTAGATTTACCTCAAATTTGGGTAATTAAATTAATATTCTCAATATTTTTTTAAAATTCATTATTAAATGCTGTCAATAAAACAAATAATTTTAAAAATTTATTAATATCTTTAATTTGTTGTGAAGAGCTTTTCAATTATCTTCTTTGCTTCAGCTAGAATTCGCTTAAATTTCAATAAACGTTTTTTTTGAAATTTTTCATTAACTTTCTATATCATGTAAAAATTATAGTTAAATTGAATTTAAAATTTTAACAATTTATATGATGATGTGTTATAAATAATGATCTAGAAGGGTAAAATCCGTGCTATTTTATATAATAATTTTTGTTCCTGATGATTGGCTTTTCTTTCTTTAATTTTAATTATAATCTTATCCTTGCTTCTGATTGTGTGCTTAATTAAAATTAAATAATTTTTAAATTTTAGAAACGATTCATATCAAAAGATGAATTGGATTAGTTGTTGTTAATGGAGAATAACTGGCAATTTCGACGAGAAAATTACCCCTTTTTTTGAAATCAGCCATTTTTTGAAATCAGCCATCTATCTAGGCAGAAAAATATTTTTTAACAATTATATTCGCTTATATTTAGAATAATTCTATTTTTGAAATTTCACAATTAAAATTCTATATGATGGATAAATTATAATTTAATTTATAATTTTAACTAATTATAATTCGATATATGTTATAAATGATGATTTACTTGAAGGGCAGCTAGATCATAGCAAAAATGAATTTATAAAAATAATAAAAGACGAATACTTAATTATTTTCTGAATAATAATTTTAATCATAATATTAAAATTTATTTAAGTTTAAGTTCGAATTTTATTCATTAAATAGTAAATGAATAGGTATATTGATATAATTCACTTGAAGCATTAATAATTTTTAACTCTGCTTCTTGCTATTTAGTATATAATTTTTATATTACATGAAAAATACATGAAAATAAAATTAAAAATACATACATGAAAAATATGAAAATACATGAAAATACATACATGAAAAATAAAATTTATATATATTTTTTAGTTTTATAAGTATCATAGAATTTTTAAGAAATTTGTTATAAAAATCATTCTTCAGTATACATACATATATCTCAATGCAATTTAAGGTAATTATTTTTTTAATCATATAATTATTTTTTGAATAATAATTTTTTCATAAGATTAAAATTTATTAAAGATTATTTTATTTAAGTTGAAGTTACAATTCTGTTCATTAATCATTAAATATGTAGATATTGAGATAATCTATAATACTTGAAGCATACATAATTTTTTACCACCAGTTCATGCTGTTTATTATATAATTTTTATTTTATATATTATATTTTTCATGTTTTTAATTTTATAAAAATCATACAATTTTTAATTAAATTTGTTATAAAGATGATATTTCAAATCATATCTCAGATGCAAGATAATTATTAGTATTAAAGATAATTATTTTTTAATCATACATTTAATTATTTTTTGAATAATAATTTTAATCATAAGATTAAAATTTATTTTATTAATTAATCAGTAAATGTATAAAGCATATAATTTATCATATCATAAAATTGTTGGTAAATTGATTATCTACTTGTAGCTTAAATAATTTTTTACCATTTCTTCGTGCTATTTAGTATAATATTTTAATTTTATAAAAATCATACAATTTTTAATTAAATTTGTTATAAAGAATATACTTCATCATATTTATCTCAATAAAGATATAAGGTTTAAGATAATTATTTTTTAATCATATATAATTATTTTTTTGAATAATAATTTTAATTATAGGATTAATATTTATTTTATTCAAATTAAAATTTATTAAAATTCAAATTTTATTCAGTACTCATTAAATGAATAAAATTGGTATACATTTATTATAACTTAAAATTATTGTCAAACAGTTTATGAGTTTATTTAATGTAGCTTAACAAAAATTTTTCACCATCTGCTTTCTCGCTATTTATTAAACTATATTTATTTTATTAAATATTTTTTATGATTTTTATTTTATAAAAACCATTTTAATAAATATAATTTTTAATTAAACTTGATTGTGTGCTAAATTAAATTTAAATAGATTTTATTTTTACGAACAATTCATTCAAATAAATGAATTGGCTAGTATTCGATAAGGGATAATAATTGGCAAAATTTACGAGAGATCACAAAATTTTCGATATTATCGCGATAATAAAACATTTATTAATATTTATTTTAGCTTGTATTTAAAATAAAATTTTTTTGAAATTTTTCAGTTAAAATTCCATATGATGTGTAGACTAAATTTTAGGAAGATACACAATTTGACATGTTTTTTATGATAATTATTTTTAATCACATATTTATTTTGAGAATAATAATTTTTAATCATAACATCAAAAATTTTTAAATTATTTTATTTAATTTTTTTTATTTATTAAATTATTTTATTTATTAAAGTTTATTATATCTATTAATCAGTGCACGAATAAAATATTCATTTATTATATTATAAAATGGTAATTAAATCGTCCATGAGATTATCTACCTCCAGCTTAAATAGTTTTTTACCGGCTGCTTCTTGCTATTTAGCATATTATTTTTATTTTATTAAATATTTTTTATGATTTTAATTTTATAAAAGCCATTTTAATAAATACAATTTTTAATTAAATTTGTTAATTAGGAAAGAATATAAGTGAATTTTATAAGTAAATTTTTATTTTTAATTTAATTATTATTTAAAATTTTTTTTTAATTTTATTAATTTGAAAATTTATTAAAATTTAGTATATAAACTTGATGATAAAATTATTTTAATGTTGCTGCATAGATTATTAGTTTATGAATTTTAACATTTTTTAACACTGTTGAAATTTCCAGTTTTTAGCTGACAGATAAATTCTTGGTAATATTTTAAATGAAATTTAATATTTTGGATTTATAAATTATTTAAAATTACGTTTATTATTTTTATATTTTTTAATAAAAAAAGAAATAAATATTTAATTAAATTAAAAATAAAATTAAAATTTTACATTTTATTGATTAAATGGTTGGAAAAAATTTTCTTTTGAATAAATCAACTACTCAACACAATGTGGAATTTATTACAACCACAGACATTATCGATAGCAATGAGAAAATTTTTTTTCAACTTATTTAAATATTTTCACTATATGTGTTTTTTATTTATTTTCTTCCTTTATAGTATTTCATCTGTATGTTTCTCTAACTTTTCTCTCTTAAAAGACAAAATGGTACAGAGGGTAAAATACGACAAAATGGTACAAAGGTTCGAATAAGACATAAGAGTACACAAGATAAAATACGACAAAATATTATGAAGGTTTAAAGAATACATAAAATCCCTTGCTGTTTTTTAACCCATATCTCTTAAAATGTCCCATTTGTACATATATATGTAGCTTGATAATCAACAAAATATGAGAAGCTCTTGATACAAAGAGAAGCTCTCAATTAATCTCGAAATATATATAAAAAATATCTTGAAATCTACTATTTTCATTCAAAATGACATAAAAATTGTACATAAAATTTTGTAAAAAAATTTAAAAAATAAAATTATTTTGTATTTTATTTTTTTTTAGATTTTTCAAATGATAGTTATCATTAATAAATTTTTAAAATATTTAATTTTATCAAAATAATTCCGAAATTTATCTAATTTCATAGTAGAGTGTCTCGAGGCGTCTGTTTTTGCTTCTGGAAGGTGTCTTCATAATAATTTCGTATCTCATGAGGGAAGGCTTGATAAGGTGTGTAGTCTCTTAAAATTGAAATAATATTCTTTAAATAATTTTAAAAAATTTCCACACCTCCTTCCGTGATTAACTAAATTATTTTCGCAGTCAGCTGATAAGTAGCCTCCATAATTTTTGTTTGCAATATCAAATCTTTTTGAAAAATTTTGCTTTTGACTCCCTCTGCGTAAGCTTTCAATTTCGCTGGTTAAGTTACGTAGATCCTTAATAAGAAAATCATTTTATTTTATTAACTTATTAGATTAATCTGAGTAGAGCGTGACAGTTATTTGAGAGACAGAGAGAGACGTGGTCATGAGTTATCTAAGAATTTTCCCAGTTAGGATATCTGGAGATTTTACAATAACCAAAAACAAAGTAATGACGCGGACTTAAAGGGCTACATGGATATCTGTAAATTTAGAAGGTCAAAGAAAAATTGGAGAAGAATATTTCTCAAAATTCAACCAATGGTCTAACGAGTATCAGAAATTTCAAAAATAGCCTTACAGAATCCTCAAATATTCTGAGTTAAAGAGGGGTAGCACGTTATAATGTTCAATGATTCGAAAATAATAATCAGGACCGAGACATAAAAACTACATCCTAAGAAATGCCTCTAGCCCTGCTCTACTCTCTATTTTTAAATTCATACCCCCAATAATTTTTGATTTTGCGCCCTTAAAAAGTCGGCTTCTGAAGCTGTACTCATACAGTATTCGAAAGGAAGTGAGCCTGATGAAGATGCAGAAGAGGCATCGTTTGAGCCCGTCGAGCCTATAGTTTCTGGATGATGATTATTGTTGGTTGGATGCAGAAATGGAGGAGGGTGAACTTGATTGCGAATAGTTTGATGATGGTTAGGCTGCTGATACTGCTCAGGAATGGTGGGAGATGTTGAGGAGGGAGATGATAGTGAATTTAATTGACTTCCGGGAAAGGCGTTTCGATCAGAAGAAATTAAAAATGACTGAAAGTTTAAAATTTCAATAATTTAAAATTTTAGTAAATTAACCAGCCTTTATGCGTCGATTAATTTCGGCAATTTTAGCTCTATAAAAATTCAGTTTTTGTTCGTGAACAGCAGAATCCTTAAATTTTATGATAATTATAATGACACTAGTTATCTGGATATATTAGGGTTCCTATTATAAGGGGATGTAATGGTTGGTATTTTCATGCTCCTTTGTAAAGGGCCCTTATGAGGATGAATGAATGAAGCTCTTATGAGGATGAATGAATCTCTTATTAAAAGGGATCATGATGATCCTTATAAAGAGGAATGTGAAGGCCCTTATGATGGATTATGAAAGGATCTTTATGATATGCAAATGCACTTATGAGGGTGAATGAAAAGACTATCATGAGGGATATGAAGGGTAATGAAGGGAATCTGTGAAATAAAATATGACCAAAAGCTTTCTAATAAAAATACGACATTTCAGAAATATTTTAGACATTAACATTTATGAAAAATACATTATTATATTTTTTAAATTCTTTAGAAATTTTTTAAAAATTCTCAAATTTATTACCAAAGCAACAATTCCACGTTCCAACATCCTCTTTCTCTTATCCAAACTTTCCATTCTTCCATTATACCACTGGACAAGTTTTTGAGCTGTTTGATGTCCTTGAATAACAAGCTGAAACTCTTCCTCGAGAAATTGCTCATGCTTGGCCTATAAAGAATTTTTTAAAATTTTTTCTTCGAAAAAATTGATAAAAAATATGAATTTTATTTTTGTATTTATTTTTTTTTATATTTTTATTGACAAAAAATTTAATTTCTAATTTTGTGCACAATAGTTCCATATTTGGGTAATAACAGAGCTAAATTTGTAAAAATAATGGAAGTAAATGACGCTAAGTTTAATTTTTTTATTATTAGATTTTCACACATTAATAATGGTAATTTATTTTTTTTTGAATAATTTTTTTAAATTATTTATAATAAACTTTGTAGTTCTGGTAAAAGCTTATATTTAAAATGATTTTTATGAGTATAGTTTTGTTAACTTATCCATTTAGAACAGCTAAAAATTTGTTTAATAATAAATTATTATAGGCGATATTATAATAAAAATTTTTCTAGAAATACAAAATTAGAGGGGATGAGCATCCCCAAGCTCATAGCACAGTTAAAGGGATATAAACATGAGCAGACCAATGTAGACCAAGCCCAAGGCCGCAGAGTCTATAACTTCATTAAATATGGTCGAATCCTGGACGCCCTAGTATCCTAAGGCGTCATTCGACAATTTTGAGTTAGGTGGATTTCATGTAAATTTTATCTTAAATAATCCTTAACCTGAGAGATTGAGATATGTCAAAAGATAAGGAAAACCTACATGCGTTACAGTAAAACCTACAAGAACGGTTTGAAGGGGTACCCAGTTTTAGACTACTCATAGTCGGAAGACTACCTGTCTTCGGAGAAGACTAAGGTCTAACTTTTAATCAAAGTCTAATTTAAAATTTTTAAAAATCCTTTAATATCCCCCAAAAGAATTTTTATAAAAATAAACACAAAAATAAATAGTTCAAAAGTACATCTAAACGTAATCAACACTCAAACAAAAAACAGTAATCCCAACCTTTTTTGCCATTTAAAAACCAACAACCTTTGCATTAGTTTAAAGCTAATAAACTTTTTAAATGATAGCATTTGGATTATTGCGTGTTTCTTATTCAAAAATTTCTTTCAATTTTCTGGCATTTCACAAACATAAATTTTTTCTTTAAAAACAGTTTGGCTTAAACTTTAAAAATTTTTTGAGGTTTTGTAAAAATATAATGATTGCGTGCCAAAAATATTTTTTCAAGTTTAATTTTATTGTAAAGCCAATAATTTGAGAGAAACGTCAAATAGCGTGCAATTAAAAATATTTAAAAAATGCCAAGGTGTCGGGGCGTTGCCTAACTTTTGTATTCAAACTAAAGATAAATAATATTTGTAGATTTATTTAGTTTTAATGTGATTATTATTCTGTAGCTTTATTAAAAACCCCTCTTGTATAAGTAAAATAAATTTTGAATAAATTAAATTTTAGGTACTGTATTAACTCGATTAACTGCTCTAAGGAATCTAAAGAACTCGGAACAAGGTCCTAGTGAGCCAGGTATTTGGGAACTCCCTAGGGAAAACTCTAAGGGTCTTATAAAATTTCTATTGAGCCACAAACCAGGTGAGCCACGAACTTCCATTGAGGTTCCCTAGAGTTATTGGGGACAAGTTCATAGCTCGATTAAGAGGTTTATAGATGTGGTACTGTGTTTTAAAGGGTCCTCCAAGGAACTCCTAGGTATCTATTAATTTCTTAGAGAGCTAGAAAATTATGATTCCTTAATAACTCTTTAGGAAACTTCGAGCGAATTTTCTAGGTAATCCTCTAAGTAATCTGTGAACATTAGAAAATCAAAAATTTTACAAAGCTATTAATAAAATTTTTAATGAATGCTCCTTAGGAAACATGTTCCGTTCTAAGACAATGGAATAAAATTCTAACAAAAATAAATTAATTATTACGTCAAAAATTTTTTAAAAATAGTTTATTGTATGAAAATAAAAATAACTTAAAATTTCTATGCATATTTGCGCAAATTTTAAAATAAAAACAATATTGTTTCGAAACAAATAACAATTTTAGAATATTTAATATTCAAGTTTCTATTTATAATTAGCATTTAAAATAAAATAATAATTAATTTAAATAAATTATTAGCAAAAGAAATGCCTCAAATTTTCACCCCTTCGCTTTTGCTCATGGGATTTACTTTAATTATTTTGCTAAATTACTGTACTACTCGAACGGAGGCCTACAGCAACATGGCTTCTATAGCTACGGGAACTGGAAGAATTTTCCGACCGTCGCGTAGTGTACCGGAAATGGGTGAAGAGGTAAAAAAATTAGAATATGGAATGTTAATCTCGATATAACGACACTGAGATTCAGGCTCTGGTCAGATACAAGGGCAATAATCCATGGCAAAAGCTCGATACATTAGAAAACCTTAATATAATTGAGGTTCAAGGTCTTGCGGCTCCAAATCTATTAGTCTTGAGTCCAGGGACAATGAAAACTAAGAAAAAATAGGACAAAAACAAAAAATTATAAGAAAATATGGGAAAGATAAATATTCCAGGGCAAAAGCTTGAGATACTGAAGCACAATAGCTTTAAGTTCCAAGGCTATTGAGGCTTGAAACTTTAAATATCGTCTTTCTCCTGCCCATAGCTCTTCTCCTGACTATTCCAATTTGTTATATCGAGAGTATACAGTATAACTCATTTCGAAACACAAATTATAGAGAAGGGGATGGTATGAGTTTAACATTAAAATCAAAATTATATTCAGGAATATCCACAAAATGATGCTATTGGCTTCATGAAACGTTCAATGTCTTTGGGCCGCTTAGCTTTCCGCCCAGGCAAGAGGAGATTTCAAGCGGTATTTTCCAGCAAATTTTTCCTAGAATCTTCCCTAATTTTTAGATAACTGGAGCATTTGCCCACGACCCTCTCAACCGTCGTTATGAATTTTTATTTATGGATGACCCTTCCGAAGTCAAGGGGATTTTGCCTGTTAATGCAGGTGATATGGTAAACAGAATGGAGGCTCAACAACAACAGCATCATCCGCAAAAGATTAATCACGTTCGGTTTAGGTAGGGATAAAGTAGAGGAAGGATATAAAAGCTTATTACCTTTCAGCCTAGTCCCAGACAAAATTGAAACGATTGATGGGGACGATTTGGCATTACAAGAGCAAAAGTGATCGGAAATAATTTTGAAAATAAAAAAAATTTTAATTAAGCCCTCTCGTGGAATACTCAATGGGCAAGAGAAGCAGTCTGGCCAGCGGTCGTATAGGCTTCCGACCCGCAAAAAGGAGCATGGCTGTTGGCCGAACAGGGTTTAGACCTGGCAAAAGAAGCATCGCTACAGGGTGGGAATGATCTTAAACAAAAAATATTTTTCCTTAATTTAGTCGAATTCGTTTTCGCCCTGGAAAGCGTTCGTTAGAGGCAAGTCAAATAGAAGAGGTAGATGAGCTGCCAATCTCATACCCATTTTAATAGATAAATAAAAATGATTGAGGATGAGCAAAATGATCAGAATTTTAATGAAATTAAAAATTATTTTTGGCATATTTTTTGTTCTAAACTAAAATCCAGACTATGTTTGTGCCGCCGCCCCCATAAATTTTATTTGTGTTTCACAAAAGTTTTTGGTTTATAGAAAGAAAAATATTTAAATATTAAAAATATTTAAAAAAGACGAATATGGACATGTTATAGAGATAAGGTTATGGTTCCATATTAACCCACCTACAGTATATTGATAAATTATAGACGTTGGTAGAGTTAAACCGACCCAATTCTCGTTCCGCGCGAATTACTTTATTTAAACTTATCAAGTATATCGTAAAGTGTAGATTACAAGAAGTGTGGGTGAGGGTTTGTGGACCCTTTCCACACTAAGGTACCCTTTCCACACGAAATTTTCAGTTTGGATATCGGATCCCAAGATTTCCAACTATCGGACAACCTTATTCCACACCTCTGAACCATCGCACTTTACCCTTTCGAGCTATATAACACTACCATCTGCTATAGAACTCTACTATTCCGAGCTAATATTATTATTATCAAAGTCTAAGTTTCGGACCATGAATTAAATTATTTTTTATATAAAATAAAAATTTTCATCTATTATTAACCCACCACTTGAGGTAGAAGGTCATCTGAATAGTTAGAAGCTGGCATAGCCGTAAACCCATTATGCCCATTATTGTTTATTGTATTCCTTCTGGATTTTTGTGTAGGGGACAAAATCTGATTCTGACGGGAATTAAAATTATTTTGATGATATTTTAATTGATTATTATGTTCATCTATTAGCATTTGAGGTGATTTTGTCGAAGGTTCTCGATATAAAATATTTTGATGATATCTTGGCTCTGAACTAATTTGTTGCCTATATTTTTGATTTTTAGATCCGTTCAGATTTACTATAGCATAAATTTCACTTTCCTTATCGTTTCTATCTTTATCATTAGCTAAGGCATTCTGAGGCGAATGTGGTTGGATTGTTGGTGTAAATGATTTCTGATTTTGATGTTGCGGTGGGGGTGGAGCTTTTTTGGTTTTTTGATGATTCTTGTTTGTATTTCTTAAAATAATTGAACTCTTTAATATGTGGTTTAGTAATCAAGGTTCTCCCTTTCCAATGAACTAATGGAGGATCCGTCAAACTGAAACCATTAGGAAACGTAACCTCTGAGCATGAGAGAATTTATGATTTAGTAATCAGGTCTTCAGGTTCCATGGAACGTAACCGAGGAACCGTCAAACTGAAACCGGATGGAACTGGAACAGTAGACGGAGAAGAATAGTTAGATTAGTAAACATGATTCTAGATCCCCAAAATAGAAATCGTACAGTGGGCCGATGACTTAACCCTGGAGATTTGTTGACCCCTAGAAGCCCTAGAAAAATACAGCCTAGAAGCCAGGACCCTTGAAATCCAGAGACAACTACATAGAAGCCCAAGAAATTCTTAACTACCTTCCAAACTCCTCTCTAGTAGACAAAGTTCTATTAATATTTGTATTATTCCTCCATTTCCCAGTATTAGAATCCCCATCATTATCAAAAATTTCGCAAAGTTGTGGCTGACTTCGACTTGCTTTTTTCATCTTAACCAGCCTCCCATACTCCCTCGAGTCAAGTTTTCTGCCAGAAATACCCATTGCTGGCGGGGTTGGCCATTTTTTATTTATTTTTGTTTGTTCCTCGTTTAGGCTGTTTTCTGTTCCATTTGGATAATTTTTTAATTTATTAATATTTTGGGTATTATTGTTGTTTTTGTCTAATACAAACAACAATTTCCCTTCGCTCTGAACACGTTTTAGAGAAGAATTGTTGTAATGATGCATAAATTTAATTTTTAATTTTTATATAATTTATGTCTAAATATGAAAAATGATAGGAACAGATCTTTATAACGACACTATTCTACTTCAACCTCAAATTCCATCTTAGGTATCTTCAATTATATAGGTGATGATTGTGGAAAGAAATCTTGGTTGGAAAAATGAAACTAGAAGATATACATGGGGATACAGTAACCTTATATCTACCTATCTCTCTCCATGCTTCTTAAAGATCCTAGAGCCTTGGAAAAGTCTGAAATTCATGTTCATGAGTCTAAAGCCTTGACCCAGTCTTCAGCTCGAACATGAGTAGGTATGAAGGTTCAGGACCGAACCAACCCGAAGCGAACCGAGGATATTTGGGTTCGTTTCTTCGGTTAGTTTCGGATATCCGTAGAATTTCCAGGAACCGAAAACCCTATCCATCTCCACTTTGGCTCAGAGATTCAACTGTTTTCATTTAGTTTTCTTTTTTCCAAATAGAATTTTCCTCCGAGATTTCTTCAAAAAATATCAGTAAGGGTTATTTTGGTCAGCTTTTCAATTACTTCTGATTGGGTCAACAAATAATTAATTCGGGGGTCAATAAGCCTTCATAAAACACAAAATTTATTCCTTTTACCTGCTTTTCCTTTTAATTTCTTTAAGCTAAGCGGGAGAGCTTACAGGTCAGCGCTAAATTAAAAATGCATTTAATGTCCCTTAGTAACATGTTGACCCGAAAGCTTAAGGTAAAGCGCTGTTTATTTTAGCCTATGCTTTTGAATAGCTAAGGCAACTATTGTTTAGGTTAGATTGTTATTTGGGTGGCACAAAAATTGAAAAGTCAAGATTGAGGGAGGGGGAGGGTCAGTCGATTTATTCTCGAATATTTTAAAATAAAAAGAGGAAGCTTAAAGATCGACAAGAGCTCAACTTTGGACAACAAGTAGGTAAATAAATGTTTTGTTCAAAAAAAATTTTTTTTTGCGGAGATACTTGTAGTTTAGATGTGTTATTGACAAACAGAAAATAACGAAAATATTCAATAAATTAAATAAAAAAATATTTTTTAAACAAAAAAATTTCCCCTTTTTTAAACAAGGGGAAATTTGAAGATTCTTAAAGAAAAAAATTTTTTCTTGAAGGAACTTTCTAGAGATCAAGCTGAACCTAGAACAAGGCCTTGATTTTTGCTGGACTACAGGCCCAGGATCCAGTCCAGTTCAAGAAATCAAACTCCAGAGTCCAGGAACAGATCCATGCTTTTCAGAAATTGAATTTTTGTTTATATTAATCTTTTCTTTATTAATCTCTTGGATTTGTCCATGTCATAGTTAAATAGTGTAAAAGTGAGGGAGGAAAAAGTATGACCGTTTTGTGCATATTAAGGAAAAATTTTAAGGAAAACGTTATAAAAATGTGGGCTGATAAAAGGAAAGTACCAAAAGAATTTTTTTCTTAGGTGGAATTTTTTTTATTTAAGGGGGAAAATAAAAAAAATTTCTCTGGTAAAATAATTTTCTTAAGTAAAATAATTTTTTGAAAGAAAATTTTTTAAATTAATTTCTGATTTTTCCTCTAAAAATATAAAAATTATTTTAAAAATATTTGGAGGAATTTGGAATTTTCTATGTTTAATTGGAATTTTCCAAAGACTGGTTATTTGAATATATTTTCTTGTTGATGGAGATTAATGAGAGGGGAAAATGGACACGATGGGTAGCAACGAATTAAGTAGGGGAAATCGGCGCGATCAAGAAAAGCAATTTTTGATGAGTTGGATGATGAAGAGGAAGGAATATAGTAAATAAATAAATAAAATTGGAGGGGGTTTTGAAGTGGAATAATTTATAGTAGTGAAAGTAAATTAAGTAGGTAGGGGGGAATAAATAAATTAGCAAGTGAAGGGCCTAGAAAATTTAAAAAATAATTAAAGTTATAATTCAAGAGATAAAGTAGAATACCGTAAAACCTTTCTTAAATACCCAGGGTAATCACTTTTTAGACCTTCCGCAAAAAGTAGTAATTAATTTAGTTAAATAAAAAATATATTTACTCTCACAGTACCGTAACCTTTCTATTAACTTCCTCTCTCACTCTTGCCTCTCATTGTCAAGGTTCTCACGTTTCCAGGAAACATCTGCTGGACCATGATTTTAGGAGCCGAACCACGTATCCGCATCTGTCATGTAACAGTGGAAATGCAAAAAATTGAAACCGGAAAAGTTATACAAGTTATACAAAAGCCCAGCCATCGCGGTAACTCAAAACTGCCAAAATCTATCTGCCAATAATTCTATTTAGGTAATCGCTCAACACGACTACACCTTCTGTTTTATAGATCTCTAATCGCCTCTTAGTCATATTAATTGTTAGCCAGCTGGTTCTTAGCTTTCAAACAATTAAATGGAAAATTTTGTTTTTATAACTTTAGGCAATAAAACGACTAAAAAAATTTTTATTTCAAAGCAATTTAAATGAAAAAATTTTTTGGCAGACTAGCTTGTCGCCTTTGAACAATAAACAACTAAAAACTCAAAAAACAAAAACAAATAAACGCGTTTTAGTCGGATTAGTTGCATTTTACGCGCGATGAAATTTGAGTGTTCTAAGGATAAAATGCACGTCCGCCTCATTAAAAAAATATTTTTTGGAATGGAAATTTGGAAAAAAATTTTAATGAGGATGATAAAATGGTAAACTAAATGATTAAAAAAATAAAACTCCTTCAAAGATAAGACCCACCTAGAGATAATTAATAATATGGTCTTGGTTAGGTGTGATAAGATGGATCCTTGAGGAACATAGATCAAAAATAAAATAAAATAAAATAAAGCCTCACTCAAAGATAAAACCCTTTAGATGCATTTCAAATAGGACCATGATGATGATCCAAAAAATAAAATAAAGCCTTCTTATAAATGATCACTATAGATTTATGATGTAACATTGATCTGGGCATGAATTGGTCAAAAAATAAAATAAAGCCTACCTCAAGGATAAGAACACACTAGATGTATGGCTAAACTCCTGGGCTTAACCTCGAAAAATGACCCAAAAAACGCTGTAAATTCCGGCCTAATAGAACTAGAATTCGAGTTACTTATAGCCTCTCCCCTGTCCTCTCAATCAAGGTAATTTTAAAATATAAACGCCATGGGCTTTTATTTTGCAAATTCATTTTAAATAAAATATTAGAAAAATTGCACTTATTCACTATTTAAATTTAAAAATATAATCGGCAAGACCAGACAATTTATTTTCAAATATTTCTAGATTTATGCAAAGACAAGTTTGAAAGGGATATATTTATTTATTGGAAGGATGTGCATAATTTATTATTCAATTTTCTTTGATCGTTCCATGTGCGATGTTTTATCGCTATAAAATAAAGAAAATATGAGCATTAATAAAATATTTTAATTATTCCAAGTAAACAAAATAAATATTTAAAATATTAGAAAATTCTCGAAGATATTAATCAGTAAAATTTTTATTTGGATTAGAACAATGAAAATCGGAAATAAACACCTTTAATATTTTTAATAAAGATAGAGAGATTAAGGAAGCTAATTGATCAATCTATCATGGTAAGATTAAAGCATCAAAATTTTAATTTGGTTTTTTAGAATACGGTAGTCAATATAAGACGGAGGATGTTTTTCAGTGACGTAGAGTGGGAGGAGGTCAGTGGGCTCTATAATTTTGAATTTTAAATAGCAGTAGACGAAGATGGAAGAAACGGAAGTAAATAAAGAACGGAAGATGAAAAACGGAAAGACTTAAAAAGTAAGGAAGAAGTCGGAAGACGGAAGCGGAAAAAAATACATCACTGGTAAGCATAGCTTTGATTTAGAAGGGTAAGGGGGGAGGTAAATTTAGGGAGAGAGATGAGGGATAAGGAGGAGCAAACCGGAATCTAAGAGGTCTTAGGTCTTAGAATTTGATGCCACTTGACTCTAAACTTTCGGTCAGGATTTGGAATAATTATAAAATTCAAAATTTTATTTTGTTAAAAATAAAGATGTAAACCCGTTTTAATGATAATTAAATGAAATTTAAAAATCCTGCAAGACTGAAGCAATTTAATTTTAAATATGCGCAAACTGGTTCAGATTATAATGAAAAAACTGATTTTAATTTTGAGAGTTTAGTGATAACCCAGCAATAAATGAATTCATTTAAATCCTAAATATAATTTGTATTATTATAAACCCCCTAAAATGAAATTTGCATCTACCATGCTAATATTATTTATTTTAATTCTTTCAAATTTTTATGGAGGTAAGCATGAATTTAATTCAAAGTAATAGTGTAAGGAAGAAGTTGGGGAGCTTTTAAATATCTTATTGAGCCTAGGTTTAAAGGAGAATTAAGGTAAAGAGAAAACGTGGAAGCAGCTCCAAGGTAGGATCAGTGAGGTAGCAGTCCATAGCTCTCCCTTACTTGTTAGGATCGGTGAGGTAGCAAGTTAGGATCGGTGAGGGAGCAGTCCATAGCTCTCCCTTACTTGTTAGGATCGGTGAGGTAGCAAGTTAGGAGCGGTGAGGTAGCAGTCCATAGCTCTCCCTTACTTATTAGGATCGGTGAGGTAGCAAGTTAGGAGCGGTGAGGTAGCAGTCCATAGCTCTCCCTTACTTGTTAGGATCGGTGAGGTAGCAAGTTAGGAGCGGTGAGGTAGCAGTCCATAGCTCTCCCTTACTTGTTAGGATCGGTGAGGTAGCAAGTTAGGATCGGTGAGGTAGCAGTCCATAGCTCTCCCTTACTTATATCTAGCTCTCCATTACTCTCTAGCTCCCTTAAATCTTGTTTTAAAAATAATTATTATTTCCATCAAGTTCACCCACAAATTGTTTCAATGCTTGGCAATGCAAACCAGACTGAAAATTGCTTGGAGTGGGGTGATTGGGGACCTTGTTTGTCTTCTTAAATAAAATATTTTCAAAAATTAAATTAAAGGTATATGGGTAAAAGGCTCAAATCCTCTATGGCAACGCTCATATTTTGACCAATTACTTCCAGGGAGGAAAGGCTGTAGAAACCATATGTTTTTCAAATTGCTTCGAGAACGATGGGGCGAAGCCTTGAATAATGTTCTGGATTATTTCAAAGAATTGCTTATTGATGAGGAACCTTGTGGGTTTTGCAGGTGATTAATAAATTTATGATCAATGAATCCCTTGTAGTGGTTATGAAACTAGTTAAAGAAAAAAATGTAAATTGACAGGTGATTCTCAAGTGCTAAGGTAGAGAGTAGAGGAAGGAGGATCAAGACAAATTTTTTTAGAGTGAGCACAAAAATGAGCCTCTCTTTTGGTCTTAGCTTACTTTACTAATGTTAATTCACAGGCATATATTTTCTGATTAGGTATAGTCACATGAAAGCTAATAATAAAAGCCATGATCCAAGTAATTAGATTCGGAAGCTTCTATTCGAAATCCTGAAGCAATAAATTATAACTTTATATCTCCAACTTTCAAATATAACTGTATAATAACTTTGAAGTAGAACTCTCCCTCACAAATATATTTTCTAGAATATTTCCTAAATAATTTCCAGCTACCAACACAGCTGCGGGAGAAAATGTAATAGAAGGTTGTTCGTTCCTCTAATTTAAAGGACCAATTTTAAAATTTAAAGGACCGATTTTAAAAGCTCGATAAATGCATTGTTTGTAGCCGAAAGGCGTTGCATGGAATTTGAACAAATTAACTCATGTAAATACAAATCTAATCAAGAACGGGGATGTAAGCTATGGCCGAATAATTTAATTAATCTCCCTAATGTCAGCGATTCTATGGTACCCTTTTTTAATGTTTTTTGTATTTTTAATTACTCGATATTATATTATAATCACCAATAAAGCTCTCTATTCTTATTTTCAATCATAAAACGCTATATCCTCACACATAAAACCCTCAAATCCTCACTCATCTGACTCATATCCATACATAAATACATGTCGACCTCTATATAACACTCATATCCCACACTAAAATAACCACAATATCCTCCCTTTATAATCCTACTCAAATTACACTCGTATATCTTCATTTATTCTTATACCTATACTTTTATCTGTGGCGTTAAAACAGGACACCTATTTCTTCCTTCACTACTAGACTGAATTTTCCATCGTAATAGGATGAAGCTTTAGAAAGCTTCCAATGTAACACATTATTTTCAACAAACATTTTCAGAAAGATTTCATCAATGGTATGAGCATGCTAAACTGTGTTGAAGAAGCAACAGAAACTGAATCAACATGTCGATGTTGTTGTGCTCCATACACACCGAACCCATTAAATAAATTTCAATGTGAATATTTACAAAAATGAAAGAGAAAATAAAATTTTAATTAAATTATTTTAATATACTTTTACTAATTTTCATTAAACCAACACTTGTTTAAAATCGAAATTTTACTTAATATACATATAAAAAATTATTTTTTTACTTTGCCTGAAAACAATAGGAGAAACAAAGTAGAGAGATTAATGCAATAAATCACTTTTATAGCCAGCTAGCTTATTTTTCCGAGATTTAGTTTAAACTAAATAAATTTTAAATCGTTTCTAAGCTGCTAGGCTGCTAAATTAATTGGTTTTCTCCTAGAAAGTTACTTCCGGTCATTTTATTTTTGCTTTACTATTTTTATATTGAATATATGGTTGCCGTTTTCGAGTCGGGCTCGTTTTTATTGAGTAGGGCCGGTATTTTTCGGGCCAAATATCGGCTCTTGTCCAGTTCAATTGTCCAATCGTACCTTTATACGTTCGAACAACCTTTATACGTCCAATGAAAAGTTTATACGTCAAATCACATTTTTTCAGTACCCGGTTCTATGAGTTAAAACCCACGGTCTGGTAATATGCGTGTGTATTAAAACTCTGTGTAAGTAGAGCTTTTTCATAGATCTTACGGTAATTTAGTGTAGAACCGGGTACTTAAAAATGTGATTGGACGCAGAAAAGTTGAGTGGACGTATAAAGGTGCGATTGGACGCTTAACTGGACAAGAGCCCAAATATCTTAGGCCCGACTCAATCTTTCGGTCCGAGTCGGGCCATTTTAGTAACCCTAATTAAATATATTTTTTAATATTTTTTTTAAATGTATAAATCCATCTTTTAAATTTTTAAATATTATTTTAAATATTCTTCGAGATTTTGTTTATTTTTAAAAAATATCTTTTCCCTTGGAAAATTAAATTATAAAACATATTCCCGTCCTACCCAAATTAAGCAACAAAGCTAGGTTTTAGCTTTACTAAAGCTTTTTAAATTAAATTTTAGATGCACCAAAACAAAATTTAAAAATATTTAAAAAGTATATTTTTTAATAAAAAATTATTTTATAATTCAAAAAATTATAGAATTTTTAAAATTTTTTTGAAAAATTTTTTGAGATTTTATTTATCACAAAAATGTTTTTTTTTCATTTTAAATACAAATTTAATTCCATTTTGAAAAATTGCTTTTTTTAAACCAAATAAAAATTTAATTCCCTGAACAAATAATTGTTCTCCTTTCTATAATTTTACAAGAAAATTGGATAATAATCGAAGGTCTTTGGACATAATTGTTTCGATGAAAATATTAAAATTAAATGTAGAGAATAATGGATAAAATTGCCAAATTTTTACATATAAAATGTATTCACATTTTATGAATATGTAGTTTCGCCTTTTAATTTAATTTTCGCATTTCATAATTTCGTGTTTGCATTTTTAGGTACGCATTTTCGACTTTCTTATTTCGTTTTTTAATCATTTCCGGCACACTTCTGTTATTTTTATTTTAATTATTGGATACGGCCTAGCCCCCCTCTGCTTTTAGGGGGGTGCTAGGCCTAACCCCCCTAAGCTTCCTCTATTTTTAAATTTAAATTAACTAATTCGTGTCCGGAAATTTGGGGAGTGGACACTTGGGGAGTGGACATTTGGAGAGTAGATAAATGGGGAGTGAGCGGACAATTGGGGAGTGGACATTTGGGGAGTAACCTAACGATAAAAATACAATAGAATATTGAATAGTTTTTATTGCTTTTGTATTTAAAAAAATAAATTAGGAATCTCTCGAGTGAGCTATTATATGTTTTTCCGAATTTTTGACTCTAAAATCCCACCATTGGTATTTGACTATTTCGAGCCCTATATCTCGACTCAATTTTTTAATTAAGCTAATTTTAGTGTCATTCGACTCAGATCGAGAGCTCTTTCGAATGAGCTATTACTTGCATATTCGAATTTTTTACCCCAAAATCGAGCTTACCCCCTCCCCCTATGGCCTTTCAATTTTTCAACCTATAACTCGGTTCAGAATCATTTCCTAAAATTGAGAGCTGGATCTTTTTCCGAAAATTGGAGTTGGAGTTTTTTTCGAAAGTTGTAGTTCGACTCAGCTCGCTGACATATTCGAAAGTTGTAGTTCGACTCAGCTCGCTGACATATTCCACGTCCCAAGCTTTTATCTCTGATGAACTTATATCCATTTTCTAAATACAAAAGCAATAAAAACTATTCAATATTCTATTGTATTTTTATCGTTAGATTACTCCCCAAATGTCCACTCCCCAATTGTCCGCTCACTCCCCATTTATCTACTCTCCAAATGTCCACTCCCCAAGTGTCCACTCCCCAAATCTCCGGGAGCCAACTAATTGAATAAAAGAAACATTTAAAACAATTAATTTATTCATTGTTAAACATAATAACTTCCGGGCTCATAATTAAAATAAAAATTTTCTCATGGCTTTATTAACAAGCATATGTTTGGGTACAATATTTGCGTCAATATTTTTTCTATAAATTTTCTAGTAATTCAAATTCTCATTATTTTCTCCATTATTTTCTCCATTATTTTCTCTCCATTTTTAAAATAAAAATTTTGTTTCCGACTCCAAATAAATAAAATTATTATTTTTTATTTTTTTTTATAATTTAATTTTTAATTTTATTTCTAAGGCAAATAAATTTAAAAATATTTCTCGTGTTTTAAGCTTAATTAAAAATTTATGTAAATATGAATAACTCAAAAACGCAACATTTTTTTAATTTAGAAACAAAAAGCACGAAAGGCTTAATGTATTACATAAGTCCTAGCAAATTTTCTTATCAAATTTTTGGCATTAATAATTATACATTAAGGTTGTCGGATAGTTGGAAATTTTCGGATATCCGGATCAAATATCCGAAAATTTCCGGATATCCGGTGTTTTTTCGGATCCGCATCCGACAACCTTATTCTATATAGCATTCGAAATCTCAATTCATATCTCTTTTGACATATTTCAGCGTTATTTTACTTTAAAATTTTTTTAGAAATATGCGGATGAAGATATATGACCCTCACGTTTTTCGGCTAGCGGTCTCTATAGCTTGACTGTCGGTACAAATAAATTTTTAGAAAATAAGTTTTTTGTAGCTTGTAAAAAATTTTATTGGCTTTCATATAGGTGATTTTAAAATTATTAGCTACTCAAAGTTTCATTTTTATCTGAATTAAATATTTATTATTTATTTTTATTTATTTTTTCTGTTTAATTTGTTTCCACCCGCAGTTTTTAACCCACTATTGACACTCGACCTTTTTTTTCATTTATTTTATTTATTCCCTGCTGCGTTCCCTTAGGCTGGGCAATAAAGCAACCCGTCATTTTTCATAATTTGCATTTAAACATTTATGTACATAAGCCTTAGGCTTGTAAATTTTTAAATAAAAAAGGGACGGCTGTCAATTATTTGAAGTGTTTTTATTTTTTCTCGAGTATTTTTTTGAATCTTTGAACCAAAAATTGATTTTAAAAATATTTTTTAATAAGAATGATAATACTTTTTAATAATAATATTATTTCTTGGAAGCTTAAGGCAGGACATTTTGGTACTTTAATAAAAACCATCGAAGGGTCATGCGAACATTAGTTGAATCTAGATATATATTTTGTGTTAGTATGGGGGTTAACAAGTGTTAAAGTTAATTAAACTTTTTTAAGTTAACAAGAGTTAAAGTTTATCTTTCATTAATATCAGTCAGTATAATTCGGTCCCGAGGGTGAGACTTAGCGATATTTGATTCAAAGCTCATATTTTTCCCATACAGCCAGTGCTCATCTCGCTAATACTTATTTAATTCGGTAACGAGGGATGTAACCTAGAGAGATATGACTCTCGATAAGAAGACTCTTTCCTATCTACGAAGGCTCATTCACCCCCGACAGGTGACGTCTTATCGAGATCGGCTCTCCCTCTTTTAGAAAGAGAGAGAAAATATACGAATACCTCTTTTATCCAATTTAATTTTTTTGGTCAATATTCCTGGGAACAATTAACGAAATATTAAAAAATTTTGAAGAATGCGCAGCAGGAGCAAAATAATATAAAACACATTTTACTCCTTTCCACTTCTCTCCCTCTCCTTCCCCCTCCCTTTCCCTCTCCCTTACTTTCCCTCTTTTCTGCCAGATGCAATTGACAACTTTTTTTGAGTTTATTTGACAGTTTCCAAAAATGAAAGGAAAGCCTAAAGGTACTAATTTTTGTTCATTTCTAAAGCCTAAAAAGGAACGCTTTTATTGCTGTCAGTTGCGAATAAAAAAGTTTGACTAAAAAATGAACAAAGATCAGAATAAAATATTTTTTATTAATAATTTTTTAAACAAATATTTAATGTAGGAATAATTTTTTAAATTATTTATTTTAATAAAATTAATTTTATTTTTAGAACAATATTTAATTAAAATTTATTAATAAAATTTTTTTATAAATATAGGCAACTACATAAATGCTTATTTTAATTTTGTATTTAATAATTAATTTTTAGCAAAGAAAGTAAATAAGGTGCCCAAAAAACTTTAAATTTCTGCTCAAAAAACATAACTATTTTTAAATTCCTTCACAGTATACAATGTAATCTCTCTATTAATTCACATTAGGGCTGAATTTTGTTGACTAAAAATTTAAGTATGTGAGAGAGAATCTCAAATGCCTCGGAACCGACGAATGTAAAGGAGGAGAGTGATAACGTAAATAGAGCTTCAACTGTATTCGAATTGAGGACGGACTGGGAGTGTCATTCTAGAATCGTTTATCTCAAATGCTATCAATACCGATAACCGACATTCGGACCGGCTCTAGGTTCGAGTTCTAATGTGGAGCTGCATCAGTGATACTCTATAATATTCGCTTCAAGATATTATCGCTATCTAATATACACCTCATTATAAGATAAAATTTTCTCAGATCCATGTAGTTTAGCGTTGAATCACTTTTTTGAACTTACAGCTTAAATTTTAAAGCTAACAGCTAAAATTTTAAGCTCATTTTCATATTAAATTAATTAATTTATTACTACTATTATGTATCTAATTTCAATTTAATCCAATTTTTAGATTATTTCAAAATTTTATTTTTTATATCATCATCTAATAATTTAAAAAAGCAAAAAATTATTTCCTGAAAATTAAAAAAAATTCTTTTTACTTAAATTTCAATATTCCCACACTTAATAACTCCCTCAAGCTCTCATTACTTTAATTTACCGCTCAAATATTTTGTTGACCAAATGTGAACTTTTTCGAGCATGTGACCATCTCGAATTTCCTCAAATACTTCTAACATTTTCATCATTTTAAAATTTGTTTACATTATTGTCTATTTTTTAAATTAATGTGTTTTCGAATTTAAAAAATAACTTAAGCACAGTTACAGTATATTTTCGCGATATGATGCTATTTTAAAGTTTGCAGAATATTCCTCACATCATGGCGTTGGGACAATAGTTTGGGAAAATAATTGGAACTATAAGGAAACCTGAAAAGCAGATCCTCGTCATCTGAACCTAGTTTAGCCATTTTGTACTATTTATTATATATAGGAATATTGCATTTTTCAACTTAGAATTACATTTACAGGATATCACTTGAATCTCAGATTTCCGATTTTTTATAATAAGCTTTCTTCCTTCTTATCCTTAACAATAATTCAAGATATCAAAAAAGGTTAGATATAGTGACTTATATGAAATAAATATTAATCACATCATTAAACTTGTATGTCACACTCACTTAACCTCAGATTTATTTCTATAACTTTCAAATTAATTCATATACACCCAAATACTCTTGCCTAATGTGACATCCACCTGTAAGTCACTTTCATTCATATGTCAATTTTTATGCGCGAGAGGTGGCAGACAATACAGCGAAGCCCGGCTTTATTTACTTTAAAAAATTTTTTATTTTATTTTGTTACTTATGATTCATTCCTTTCATTTTTAATTAAAATTTAGTCTTGTTGACAAAAAATATTTTTAAAATTATAAAAATACACTTTTTGCTTTAATTTAAAACATAAATCACCTTTGTTTACTCAAACTAAGATTCTTAAAACTATAAATATTCGAAAATTTTTGAGTGAGAAACTTCTATAAATAATTAAAATTTATTTTTGCACAAAAATTTATCAAAACTTTTTTAGAAATTTTCCTTTCACACGAAAATTTTATGAAATTTTATTTTTATTTTAACCCCAATTCAGCCACAAAGCTTCAGATTATCCATTTTAGTTTATATTTATTAGCCCATTGAATATGCTAATCAAATAAGAAGTTTGCAATAAGAGTGTTATCCCGAATCACCTGATATCCCTATATCCCTTCAAGCCTCTTAATCTTTCCAAATCCCCTCCCTAATATTTCCCTTGATCCTTACGATTCCCTTATATATCACCCTGAATCTCTCCACATCCATTCTAATCCAATAATATCATCTCCATATACTTATATCCCCAATATCCTTATATCCTTATATCTCCATATTTTTATATCACCAAGTTTGGAATACGAGTGTCATCCCGATGTCACCTGATATCACCTGATATCCCTATACAACTCGTAGCTTCTTAATCTCTCCAAATCCCCTAATATTCCCCTTAATCCTTCCAATTGCCTTGTAGCACCCTTACTCCCTCCACTACCATCTTAATCCTCCAATATCATTCTATATTCTAATATCCCCAATATACTCTCAAATACTCCGATTTTTATGGTATTCCAAAATTTTTAAAAAAAATTTATATTTGATCAAATATTTGATTTTGCCGTTGGTCCGATCTCTAGTAGCCAGAGCTCCTTACCCTGTAGACAATCAAATTAAAAATGTTTACCTACAAGATGCACGTGAATATGGGTGTCGTACAGCCGAAACCCGATTGATCAACAAATTTTTAAAATTTTAGTGTGAAAATGCAATTAATATTTATTCCAAAAACTTTGCTCAAATCTAAATTAATTCCATCATTTATACTTTTATTTATATCGAATACAGTACATGGTGGTCCTAATGATGAAAGACCAACAACATTAGTACCCATAACTAAAGGTAAAAATCTATTCTTAGTTCTGATAACACAAGAAAAGTTGAGAAACACCGTACCTGTCATATACACTTTTAAAGTCCGGGGCAGTTCTAAATATCTCCAAGTTTTATATCTATCAATATCTCCAAGTTTTATATCTCATCTGAGAGATTTTCCATACCTCAATGATATATTCAAGCATTTCCCGAAAATTAAACCCAATAGGATAACTTTGGATAAAGTTGATTAAATATCTTATTAATTAAAGATTTTATTGCTCGTTTGGAAGACGAAAATCTCTATAATAAATATGCCACACCAACACAGCATAAAGGCAATTTAATAGTTTGATTAAAAAATTATGTATTCAGATCATACAATCTCAAAGTTATTGTGTGATTCTAAGAGACGCTCATCACTTATCCCCTCCTATATCAATCCAACGGTCAACCCTTGCTGACGATTTCCCTATGATACCACGGATTTCTATAAAAGATTTTTTGGTTAACCACAGGATGAGTGATACCACGCAAGAGTGATTGAGTGATCTCAAGTGGCACTCAACCTTCAATTACCATGCATTCCCTCATTTACTACAGCCAATCCTTTTATTTGGCTGATTATTCGCTAGGGAACAGGCTGATTAAATAAGAACCTCAATCTCAGTATTGTGTGATTCCAAGAATCATACAACACTTATCCTCTGATTTTAGCCCAATAATTTTAAATCTCCCTTATCAGGACTAGCAACAAACGTATCGATGTCAATGTTCATTGAAGGCATTTCTAGCTTCAGTGCACAAACAATGGATTATCAACTGGATGTTTATATGTATCAAGTAATTTTTGAAAAAGTTTCAAAAATTTTATAACTGAAGGAATGGAGAGATGAACGTTTAAAGCATAATGGATCAGGTCCTTTACTCATCAGAGATAAAGAGATATTTAATGTAATTAATTTTAAATTTTAATGATAAAAGACTTGCCCTTCAGGACAGTCCGTTTAAACCTTTCAGTATAAAATTTTTTAGTAGACTCCATTTAAGAGTCTTCTGGCATATCACACCTTGGAGCTTAGCCCTTCAGGCGTCCCACTTAGCCCTTCCGAGCTTAGCCCTTCCGAACGTCCCTCATTCTATGAAAATACCCCTAGAATATACCTCTAACTCCTAGAAAGGCACATCTTTCTTTCACAGACAAAGCCCCTTCTGGACAGTCCCCTCACAAGATTTAAAAATTTTCAAAATATATTTTAGAAAATTTGGCGTCCCGATATATATTTTGCTAATGCTCGACAAGCCTCATTCCAGTCAATAACCGAACCTAATTTTTATGTTTGGATATTTCCGAATGGAAGGTGTAGCTTTTTGGAATTTTAAAAATAAAATTTACAAAATAAAGGGTTTGGTATGACTTAAGAATCTCTCTCGTTGCTATATGCATGATGAACTTATGGAAATATCCACTGGATTCGCAGACTTGTGAACTTAGGATACTTAGCTATGCGTATCCTGAATCTCATTTGAGGCTTAGATGGTGAGCATATTTTTCTACAAATTTTATAGACAGACGGACTTCCCCTATAAGATACATTCAATAAAAATACACTCCAATTTAAGACACTTGCTTTATCATGTTTAACGGGTGAAGAAGTAGCGTGAGAGCTGCCAACGCAAGACACCCAATAAAGTTCCGAGGAATTAAGATACATTTTAGGTTTGTTGACTGAAGGAAGGTGTGAGTTACCTAAGAGTGTTTCCTATTTAAAAACCCTCATTATAAGAGACTGTTTTTTAGCATCAAGGACCTTATAGTGAAGTCCGTCTATTCAAAAATCAACGTTGATATCCTTACTTTATTAAAATTTTAAAAATAATTTTTAAGGTCCAAGAAGATAAAACCTCCTATTGATAGGAATCCTGACATTAAAATGCCAGGTAAATTAACTATAAAATTGTAAAATAATTAATATAATCTTAATGTTAAGACATGCGCTTAGTTGATATCAGGTTTTAAATTTAAAAATCTCTCAAATATACCTAGCATTATAATTAAATATTCCTTATAGGATGGGTGAATGTAACGGAACTTATGCTATAGGTATCTTGATATAGAAATTTAAAAATTTTTTTTGAAATCCTAGGGGTTTGGAGCTGCATGACTGCAGTATTCTACGGTAAAGTTCTTAAAAAATATCTAATTTAACAAAGTTAAATTAAAACAGTTGAACGAGAGATGCTTCACCATATAATTCAGACATACGTGCCTACTTCATTAATTGTCGTTATATCATGGTGATTTTTCATTGAAAATTGTTTATGAAAGATAAGTGAGAGACTTGGGCTTTGAGAAATAGATTGGAAGATAGTTGGGCTTTAAGAGATTAAGACAGATTGGGGTGTAGATTAGCTTTGAGAGATAGGTGAGAGATTGAAAGACGTTGAGAGATAGTGAGATAGTTGGTCCTTGAGAGATCGAAAGATAGTTGGGCCTTGAAAGATTGAGAGATAGTTGAGCCTTAAGAGATTGAGAGATAAATTAGATAGATTAGCTTTGAGAGAATTAGAGAGAGGTTGAAAAGTAGTTGGGCTTTGAGAGATCGAGAGATAGATGAGCCGTTAAGAGATTGTGAGATGATTGAGCTTTGAGAGAATGAGTGAGAGCCTGGAAGCTAGTTAGGCTTTGTAGAGATTGAAGATATTTAAGGTTAATTGGTCTCTACTTACTTTCAAATTCAGGTTCAACTTCTGGCTAGATATAGATACGGCTCCCGCTCGTGTTACTTTATCAATTACAACACTTCTTACTATTGAGACACAAGCAAACGCTGTAAAACTTGCGTTACCCGAAGTTTCATATATGAAGGCAATAGATTCATGGATGGGATTGTGTCTGGCTTTTGTTTTTGGTAAATAAAATATAAATGCTAAAGTAGGACTTTCTATAAGAAACTCGGATTTTAAGCCTAGGGACAAGATCCCTCTATATACATCTTTATATGTATCATCACAATGAATTGTAAAGTCATTTATAAAAGTTCGAGCCAAATTAAGGCCTTAAGGCCCACCCAGTATTTTCAGGACCAAGTAGCTCTGAGCTTGGTATTATTCAGAAACCAGGTTTATAAGGCTTAGGGCTTTTCAGTACATAACATATGGACCTGCTCATATTGCATTAGCAACCCCCGAAAAGCCCCAAGTAGTTTAATAATGCAGAATTCAAAAGAATAATAAATTCTATACTTTTATCACAGCTGTAATGGTTGAATATACCATCGCTCATTTTGCCAAGAACCAAGAACTACCTCAAATTTTTCAATCATCTTCCAATCAACAACCACCGCTCGTAGTTGATTCAGAAACCTTACAGTCAATATTCAATGCTGCAAATGCATTTTCTGCTTCTCCAGGGAATGGAGTTAATAATGAAGAGGATATTGTTAATAACAACGATATTGGACAATTTAATCCTTTACTGATCAACACAAACTCCCCTCTAAATAATGGACAGATAGAGAAAGGGATTTTGACTAGTGAACAGATGCATAGGTACTTAATTCGGAGGGATATTAGTATGAATATGAGTTTCTTTCGGACCAACCGAACCAAAAAACGATGAATTCTCGGTTCAGTTCCTCAGTTCGGTTCAAGGTATCCCATATTTTTCCAAGAACAGACAATTATAGAGGTTCATGCCTGAGAGGGTGGGGGAGTGAGATACTCTGTATAAGGGGAGGTGAATAAATGATATGGAGGGGGAATATGATTCACCTTTCTCTGCAGAGAGCATACCTGCAACATCACTTAATGGTGCCATAGTGAATAAATCTGAGTGAACTCAAAAGTGATTTATCACAAGCTTTGTCTAGAGGAGGAAAGCACTATAATATTCTTTCAAACAAATAATTTCAGGCATTGGCGTAAAAAAGTTTGTGGAGTCTTATCTAACGGAAGCGTAAGCCATAAGAACGAGGTATCACGCAATAGTAGCAAAAAGCGTAAAGATCAACAAAGCACTCAGCAAAGGTTCGATTCAGATCTTGGAGGGAGAGAAGGTGAATTTGATCACAATAAACTTGAAAATATTTTTAAATTAATTTTATAAAGATGTGGATTCTGAAGTAAGCTCAAAAACTACTCTTGAACGCCAAAATAGCGGCAAAAACCATTTAAGTGTGAATATGTTTAATTTTGAAGATCCCCGACTAAAAAGGATATCGAGGTAAACTAGAAGCTTGTTTCGGATTAAATTTTGAAATTTAACTTAGATCACTCCCAGAACATTTTTGTATTGAACCCGAGCAAAAGATCATTCAAAGGGTAAGAAGGAAAAATTCATTTAGAGACTCGGCAAGAATAATAAGGAATCAGGTGAATTTATCAATTATTTTGTATATTCTCTCATTCTACCGTAATCCTCCTAAGTGAAATTAATTTTGTTACATTTTTGAAGACCCATTATTATTAGTATGTATAATATATTAGTGAAGTGATTCTGTTAATAGAGTTCTAGGTAATTAGGAAGACAGGAAATATAATTAGGAACATATCCGAATTTCATAAGGATGATGTAATAGGAATTGGTACCGAAGCTGATACTCGAAAATCGGACTATTAACCCAGAACCTGACCAAATATCAACTACAAATCCAAACATTCATGATTAGGGTTGCCAAAATGGACCGACTCGGACCGAAAGATCGAGTCGGGCCTAGATGTTTGGCCCGAAAAAGACTCGTATCGGCCCGACTCGATAAAAACAAGCCCGAAAAAAATGCCTCGACCGTCGGCCCGACTCGAAAACGGCAACCCTATTCATGATCTTTAGGTGTATATGGATTCCCACTTGTTTTGCTAAACGGGTTTGGTTAATAAATAAACCAGAAACATGGGAATCAGACTTAAATTAGGCTTTATTATAAAGAGAAAGTAGTATGTATTGGATCCAAGAATATAACTAGAACAAAAATTCGGGTAAAATTTCGGGTAGGGGTTCGAAAAAACGGGGAGGATTCCAACAAAACATATTTATATAATTAATTACAGCTCCATACACGTGCACACTTTCTAAAAAGAACAATAGGCCAGTTAAGAGGCCGAGAGATGGCAAATAAAATTGATCAAAAATCAAGAATAATATTTCCTATTGCTTTTATAATTATGAATATTTGCTATTGGTCTTACTATTTGATTCTCAATTAATAAAAAAAATATATAAAGATTTTAAAAAATATTTTAACTTAGAAATTAGAAAAAAAGCTTGAAACGGGTAACCGAGGATTTATCGGTTCAGTTCCGGATATCCAAAGACTCTCAAAACCGACAGTCCTATCCGGAAACCCGTTATCAAGGCTAGAGTTGGGGGGGGGGGGTGGAATCAGACTTAAAATCGGGATTGTTGTTTTGGGATAATGATCCAGATCCCGATCCAATTCTGACTGGGGGATCGGGATTGACCGAGCTTGGGATTCGGGATAATGATCTCGAATGCCTCTATGGGAGGTGATTGAAAAATAAAATGCCCGTGCATTCAATTAGAAGAAATAAGGTATAGTATTTATATATTTCCAGGATTTCTAAAAAGTAACGGATCCGCTAGTGTACTAGCTCCCGAAGGGGGGATCGGGATTGACTGAGATCTGGATTCGGAATAATGATCTCGAATGCCCCTCTGGGAGATGATAGAAAAATAGAATGCTTAGGCATTCTATGTATTAGAAGAAATACAGTATATTTACATATTTCCAGGATTCCTAAAAAGTAACGGATCCGACAAGTGTTCTGGCTCGTGAAGCCATACCCATTAATGCTTGAAATCATAATATCGCTTATCTTATTATTAATCCTTCAAAATTATATTTTCAATCATACACCTATTTATTGAAACATTACGAATATAAATAAAATAGGACAGAGAAGCGCAGAAAATAACCAGTTTTTTTGTTTGTACTATTTTTATACATTCTCATCTGTCAATAAGAAAAATAACACTTAAAAAAGCCTAGTCAACAAAAAATAAACGAGGAAAGGATCCTTTTGAGTAGAATTACAAAATTATTGAAAGGGTGATCAGCGAGGGACTCAACCAGTCCCAATAAAAAATACATTCAATTTATATAGAATCGGCTTGCAGTAAAAAGAGGAACATTTTTAAAATGTATACAAGGATGAAAACACACACCGGCCGGAAATGTTTATTTTTTTACGTTAAAGATAAAGTGCATAATTTACTAAATTGTTTTTTAATTTAATTTTTGTTCCCTAAGAAGAGAATTATCGGATCCAGAGTTCCCAGGATCAGATATGTTTCCAAGGATCGGGGTAATTTTTAAGGATCTAGCGGAGTTTCCGGTTTTCCACCAACCCTATCCAGGAGAGTGATATGATTCATATTTAATAAATAGTTTCTGTAACAATCGGAGATAAAGGATGTGAGACACCCAGGAGATATTCTGGATACCCGAAAATTTTAGGTTCGCATATTGGATTAGGAGATGAGGAAATCTTTCAGGATCCGTCAACCACTCCCTGAGGACAAAAGCTTTCTGTATTTAAGGCAAGTTTAAATTATGTTCGATGTTGGATCGGATATCTGGGGATTTACCCGAATAAGTCAGCTTTATCCTGTATATTTTTTTAAATTTATTATTAAATCTGTTTAATTTGGATATTTTATTAACAAGAAAGTTATTTCTAGACTTGCTAAAACTGATTAATCTTCTCGGGATTTAACCTTGACTTTAAGCAGAAAATTTTTCCTTTCATAAATATTTTTATTCTTAAAATTATTTTTTCCCTTTTTTCAACTTTCATTATTATATAGTCGGAAAGTTTTTGAGAGGGCTAGTAAAGCAAACAAAAGAAACTTGCCCAAACATTCTTTTAAATTAGTAAAGTTCCTTTCTTACTATTTTTTTTCTAAATTAGTGTGGTTAATGGAAATTGAATTTTTGCGCGATTTTATTTTCCTCTTGTTTTATGTAGACAATTTTACTATTTTTTCTTTAAAAAAATTTTTTTAAACTTAATTTAAAAAATTCCAATTCAAGTAATGACCGATTTATTGGCTCAAAGAGATTCCACTGGAATTTATTATGAGCCCTACTCGGGCGATTTTAGGCAGTGCATTTATGAGGAGGCTGATGTTCAAGGCCGTAATGAGCGCTACGAATTTAGGTCAATCTGAATAAAATATTTATAATGTTAAATTATTTTTATTTTGTGATTTTATATTTTTTCCTATATTATAAAATAAAATTAAAAATAATTTAAAAATAATTTTAAATAAAGACCTAACGGGAGGTATATATCGATGTACCGAGAAATCTTGATTCTAGGATAACCTAAAGTTTTGTTCAAGATTACGTATCGGGTCATAATCCTGAACCTGAGTGTATACAATTGAACCCAAAATTTATATACACTCTCGAGTTTAGATACGTTTATAAATTTTGGTTGGCCTCAGGGTGGTGGTGGGCATAGAGCTCATTGCCTATGATGAGCTCTATGGCAACAGATGCTCCATCTATGGCAAAAGATGCTCCATGCACCTTCTATGTTTCATGCAACTCCATTCTTTATATCTATGATTTTTTATGTACCAATGAGTAACCAAATTAAAGGGCCTTCTTTTGATAAATAGAGTTAAACCTCTCTTGTAGATCCTTATCCCTGTGAGTGGTACCGCAAAGTCCAAAGCTTTGCTTGTCTCGAAATATTATTTTATTTTTCAATTTGTAAAATTTTTTCTATCAAAATTTTTTAATAAAAAATAGAATCAATTAAAAATTATTTTTTAAAGATGTGATGCGCATTTGTCCTGTTGTGGTCGCGCGTGTTGCATACCTGCAGCGGCCGCTGCCCCTATACCTTTATGGCTGCTTATTCTCCTTTTGCTTCTTGCATTACTTTTACTCCTTGTATGGAGATTATTTTTAAAAATTAAAAAATTTTATTAAATATTAGGCTTTGCTCTACCTTCTTTACAAATTGTGCTGTGCCAAACGCAAAGGTGGAGTGAAGGAAACCGGCAAAAGATGTAATATTTTAAATTTAAATTTTTTTAATTTTTGATTTGATAAGTCTACTTAAGTCCTCTAAAACAATTTGAAAAGCCCTTTAGAGGCATTATTTTAGAGGATTACGGTATTCTCTCAGTCACATAAGTTAAAGCACATTTAACATTTTAAATAGTGTTGATGGTGCTAGGTTTCGAAACGGAAGCTTTTGATATTTTCTCCCAAAAATTAACATTTTTATAAAATTTTAAAAACCGGTATCTGAAAATTTTGAAAATGAGACATTTGTACAAATTCTCCCAAATAAAGCCGATATTTGACATTTGGATTACCAAAAAACCAGGGCTCTATTAATAACAAGTCTCCAACAACCCTATTATTAACCCTAAAATGCACTAGTTTTTGATTTAATTTTTCACATTAATCTCATCATCCTTATCACCAAGTATTAACACAATTTTAAACAATGATAATCTAACCGAGATGTTGTGAAATTAACCCAAGAAATTTAGCTTCCACAACCCGCCGCTCGAGAGGGACACGTCCATATGGAGATGGATATCGAGGAGGAGCTGATTATGGTGAAATTGATAGGGATGCTGATAGAGATCGATTCTTCCGGTTATTCTAAAATTAATTGGGAAAATTTAAATAAAATATTAAAGTGATCGAGTAAGCTATGCCGAAATGCCTAATGGAGGGCGGAAGACTGAGGAGGTGAGAACCGGTGAAAGTGGACAGGTAAGTGATATGCTGTGTGATTTAACTAGTAGAACTCCAACTAGAGATATTCACAAGTTCAAAAACGTTTTTGAATTTGTTGGTCGTAAGGTGATGGAGATAGGAGGTGGAGGAGAATAACATAGGAGGTGCACTGACGATAACCACAGTTTAGGATACAAACCAGGGATTCTGTCGACGTACAAGATAAATTCCCAAGTTCGATGATCAGGAATTCACTAGGAAATTTAGTTTCCAATTTTGAAATCGTCAGTTCCCGTCCCAGAAAATTTTAAGAAATTCACGATCTTAGGGAAACTGGGCGACAATTTCTGGTACAGATAAGAATTCTTGGGCCTGGGATAAAGAACCTTCGGGCAAAGGGAGGTATCTTATAGTAGACTGACATTAATGATATAATATTTTGTGAAGAATAATTTTGAGAGAAAAATTTCTAACAAAAAATTTATTTATTAGCGTGGTGGACCTTTCCGTCGATCCTTCCACGAGGAGGAAACATTTGAGGAGGAATTCCATGAAGAAATTGAGCAGGTTGAAAAAACTGGCGGAGAACGGCGAGGAAGCCTGGATTCTCGAAGAATTTGAGTTTAAAAAATATTTTTAAAAATTTGATATTTTTCTAATCTCCCCTGTTTTCTTCTAATATTTTCCTTACAACTGCCAACCAAAGCACTTGCCATTTTATTCACTTTTCTAATTTGACTTGCCGTTTTTAAACAATACTTACCGATTTAGATTTTTCAAACATTTATTTTCCTCACTAATATTTTCATTAGTCTTTTAATTTTTTTATCAAATTATCTCATTCATTTCACTGATAAAGAATAATACTTTCTAAACTCTAATTTAACAAATATAAGATGTGAAACATAAAATAACCTTAGATTGACTCAATATTAGACCGCTTATTTTGATATACCTCCTTTGAGGCTACAGTATTCGACCATCTTTCAGACCGCGGTGTCGAATTGAGGCTCTAGCTTAAGCTGGGATTTATTAAGATAGTTAAGTAATATTATCCAGGGGCTGACCTTCTTTCAATCATAAGAGACTACCGGTCTTGATATGGATTTTACAATACTTCCGTTCATCACTCCCCCTCTCTCCTGTTATAAGACTTCCCTATAATGTTAAAACTCGCTAATAAAAATTTATAGAAGGCACAAAACTTGAATAAATTAATGATCATAAATGTGACTAGGATCATAAATCTGAAATTAAGTACATTTAAAAAAATTATTATTATTAAGCCCCTCGCCCTCAACCAATAATTGAAGAACGTAAGCCAACACCAACAAAAACACCACCGAAGAAACCAACTCCAAAGCCTTCACCGTCCCCAAAAATCTTACCATCTCCAGTGGAAGAGATGGATATTCCTGCCCCAATCCCAATCCATGCAGTTGAGAGAGAACTTCGAGGTTCACGTCAATCTTTGGCTACTGTACTCAGTCGTCGTTCTGAAAGCCCGCAAAGGGCACAACACGCGTTTTATAGGTTTGGAACAAAATTTTGAAATTAAAAAGGAACTTTACTCGGGTATTTTAGAAAATCTAAACAGCAATAATTAAAAAGTAGCAGTATTGCATGGTTATCTAATGCACCTAGAAATAACCGAGGGTGGTGCGGGATCGATGCCCAAACTTTATCGTACTCTTATTATATGCTTCTATTTTAGGGCTCGGTCTGAATGTGTTGCTTCGTATAACCCAATAGAATAAGAAGGAACTGAAAGATCTTAAGATGAATTATAAGTTTAGAACACATAATTACCTTGTCATATTTCAAATTATACGGAGGATAAAATAAAATTTTTTTGAATTATTGGAGTATACTTTTAATTACAGTATTAGGGTCGAAGTTTTCGAGTCAGGCCGCCTGGCTATACAAGTCACTTTAAGGCAAATTGTCCTATGCATATAGGGAATGGCTCGGACCGTTTTTGCAACCCTAAACATTATAATTAACATTGTTTCCCGAGAGATTTAAAAATGATCCCTTTACCATATTGTCCAGAGCTCCTCAAATTATCTCACAAATTTCAGGCCCTTGACTAGCGATCCACTCGAAGAAATTGACATTTCAATGCCTATACCCATAGACACACGTACAGGAGATGCTCGTCATCTACTTGGAGAGGCCGAGCATCCACTGGAGAAAGTAGTAGAAACGCCTGAGGCAAAAAGAGCACAGCATATGTTTATTCGACCAGGATTTGATAACATCCCTGCCTATAATTGATAATGTTTTGGAAGGATTTTGATAAGATTTAGATGTTATTTTTAAAATAAATTTTTTGTGTGTCAAGTTGAAACTGGGGAAGAAACGATTTGAATTTTTGAAGGTTTATGGCCTTAAGGGCACAAGCTTACTCTTATCCGATATACTCCAACTATGGCGAAGAGACACACTATAATAATTAAATATACAGAGTAGAACCCAATTAGGACCAGAAATAAGCTAACTCTAAATCTCTGAACCTCTAATAAGTAGCTAAGAAATACATTACATTTTAATAACAAACAGGCTAAATTACGACCAAGTTGTATGTTTTAGAGTTAAATTATGTTTTAATATACAAATTTAATTTTTAATGCCAAATTGGCAGGACATTTGATTGAAATCGAGAATGCAACTATTGACATGTATATTCCCAAAATTGAATAAAAGGGTACTCAATTCATGTGATAGAGGCACTGACTAACGTGTCATATGAATTCAATTAAGCATTTAAGCACAATCGTACACAATGTTCAATTCGGTCACATTTTTTTAGCCTGTAAGAACGCACTCGTTTGACAACATTCACTAAAATTTATGCCTGTCAGACAGGAGAAGCATTCTGTCCATTTAAACGGGCCACATGAGTGATTTTGCCCTCGAGAGTGTCATTATACATATGACAGTCTTAAGAAAGTGACAGTCTTAAGAATCAATGTCTTTAAAACTGAATTTGTTCTTTGATAAAAATTATATCGTGTAGGGCCACATGAGTGATTTTGCCGTCGAGAGTGTCATATGTTGAGTGACAGTCTTAAGAATCGATGTCTTTTAAACTGAATTTGTTCTTCGATAAAAATTATATCTTGTAGGGCCACATGAGTGACCGTCGAGAGTGTCATTATACTTATGACAGTCTTAAGAATCAATGTCTTTCAAACTGAATTTGTTCTTTGATAAAAATTATACATGTATAAATGTGTAGTAGCTGGACAGCATGAGAAGCATATATTAATTAAAAAAGGCCATGTAAAATGCTGTTAGAGAATTTAAAGACACGCGCACTCAGGACATGCTCCGCCTCAATGAACATGTTCGAGAAGGCTATGGAACCGTATAAATAAGCGTTAATTCCCAGCAACAAGCAGTTTAATTTTTTTAAATTTTTAATTCTCTTAAATTTGGACATTAAATAAACAATCCTTAATTTGTTTTCATTTATTAGCTTATGATATACATACTATAATATTTACAAATTTTCCAGATGATTTTCTTAAAACAACCAAATTCATTCTTTAAAAAAAGAATGATTTTCTTTTTGATTTTTTGTCTGATTTGCATTGAATATGCAATTGGAATGCAAGGGGAAGGAAGTTCTAAAGGAACTCAAAAGCATCATGGAAATGAAGGGGCAGGAAGTTTTGGAATTGTTCAGAAGCTATTAAAATTCGGAGGGGCAGGAAGTTCTAAAGGAACTGGAAAGCATCTTGGAGATGAAGGGGCTGGAACCTCTGGCGGTGGAAGTCAACAAGTTGAACAGCCTGTCTGGGGACAATTCCATGGACTTGATTTAGATAATGCCAAACAATACAAAATTAAAATATATGCAAAACAATGTAACTTATATACATATACATAAATTTAATTTTTTTATCCTTCAAACATGCTTTTGTATGCAATTTTTTAAATTTTTTTAAATTATTTAAAACCTTAATTTATTATCAATTATTTTTTTATTTAATCCAAGATGATGGAAGTTCAGTACTTGTTCTGGAGGAAAATGGGAATTTTGAAAAGGGTTCAATTCATAATATTGAAGACGTCTCGAGGAATAATGATAAATTTGAGCCAATATTTGGTCACGCAATGATTATATTTAAATATAAAAACAAGGAAAAATTTAGACGTAAGTAGTTTTGATCTTAATGTCATCTTGTGTTTATGCCAATTTTTAACGGTATTTGTCCAGCTAGCTGTACGCAAGTACGCAAAAGGAATTCCGAAAAAACATTCTCCCCTTGTTGTGTCTGCACTTGCAGAATGAATATAAATGAAAATAAATAACCTTCATCGGGTTAGATGGTGGCACAGTCGTTTATGCCATACTTTTCTAACTAAACATGATTAAAACAATTATTACCCCATCTAATTGCACAATATTATTTAGTTCATCTCACACCGAAAGGCTTGATCTTTTTTAATAGCATAACAAAAACAAGTTACTTTGTGTCATAGATAATGGTAATTCGTTATACGGTTTGAGTTTTGATGAAGGTTATGCAACAAAAATGCTAGAGAAAATCCGTGGCTCTCAATCTAAGGCTGAGGAACAAGGCTTTAATATTGGATGGAAGCATTTATCTGTAACTTTTTTTACATATATCTTTGTTGTATATAAAAAACTGAGCTATATAAGCAGATTACCATAAACATAAAATTTGACTTTAATAGTTGTTTACTCAACAACTCAGTTTGTATGATATCATCAAAGAAGCTTACTTTAAAATTACTGTTGGGCGTACTATCGAAAAAAGTTTTAACAGCCTTCATTTTGTTTATAAATGCATAATGGAAATTGCTGATGAAAAATCTAAAAAGAGTTTGAAAACATTCGAAACCTGGCCTGTTGCTGTTCGCTCGCTTGATGAACATATGACTCCAAGTGGTGGTACTACTGTTTTTGACCAAGTTTTTGGCAAGAAGAGCAACACCGGCAAATAGAGAAAATGTAGGTACATTCAAATATTAGCGATATATTTATATTATTTGAAAATAGAGTTTCTTTATAAGGGAAAGTCGAGGGTATTTTAAACAGTAACTTTAACAGTATAAGTAACTTTTAAACAATGAGAAAATTTCAAAATTATACAAAATTTAGTAAATAAATAGATAAAAAAAATACAGTAAGACCGAAGCCAAAAACATAAAGTAAGGTTGTATGGTAGCTGGAAATCTTCAGATTTCAGGATTCAAATATCAGAAAAGAAAAGTTCCGGATATCCAAACCGGTATACGAAAACGAAAATTTCCGGATATCAGCCTTTATTCAGATCCGGATCCGACTGGCGCGCCGAAATTTGCGGATTTTAATTTGCGGACCCGAAATTTGCGGACACGAACTTTGCGGACCCGAATTTTGCGGACCCGAACTATGCGGACCCGAATTTTGCGGATCTGAGATTTGCGGACCAAAAATTTGCGGACCGACAATAGAGTCTAATGAACCACGGAAATTTTAAAAATTTTAGCCTGTGGCGTTAATTAAAATGAATTAGGCATCATGACCTTATGAGATGGCTATATGAATGATTTTTTCAAGGAATTTTCTCGATTATTTAAATTATGATATAATTTTAAGATAAAAAATTGATAAAATTTTTGAAAAATCAGGAAAAAATCTTGATCTGGTACGGATCATGGTAAACTCTGCCGGGATCATCGAAAAATAAAATTTTTAATTTTTTCCTTTTACTCAAGTGTCGGTCCTAAAATCTTGGTTCCGCAAAAATCAGGTCCGCAAACTTCGTGTCCGCAACCTTCGGGTCCGCAACTTTCGTTCCGCAAATTTCGGGTCCGCAAACTTCGGGTCCGCAAAATTCGGGTCCGCAAAGTTCGCGCCACGGATCCGACTACCTTACTATACAGACATTTGTTTAATCATCTTAAATGCATCTATTATCACGACAGAACTAAAATTACCGATAAACTGACTCGATATAACCAACTTTGTCTTAAATCTTTTCAAGCTTCTTATATCAAAATTAACTTTTATATTAATAAAATAAACGATTATAGCGATGAAGAAAGCATGTACATACACAAAGTTATTTTGAAGTCTGAAACTAACTGATATTCAGTTTGATTTGACTGACTGCATGAAACAGCAAAACATTGTTACATTTGTTGCTAAACAAAAAATCCTTTCAACTTTAAATTCTAATTTTTCTTTCCTTTTTAGATGCCGAAATTATTTTTTGAGAACAAAATTTTTAAAATTTGAAATCAAAAAAATTTGATAATTTGTATAACCCTAAGTTACATTTTTATCCGCGGATATACTTGCGGATATCCGTGTAAATGGATGGATAGGAATACTGCCTTTTAAATCGGGCAGAAACAGATGAAAGCTAATCATTTTGAAGTTTTAGTCATACTGACAATTTTGAGAAAAAACGGATACTGATACGAATCCATATCCGTTTTCGTATCCGTTTTTAGTATACGGATACCAAAATCTATGTCCATGTGAACGCCTGCTTAAAATCTTTATTACTAGCAATAAAAAAGCCAGAACTTTGGCTAATCTCATACTATTTAGATACGAAAGTTAAATCTCGGACAACCTCGGACATAACACTTCCCATTTTTAAGTTTGCAGAAAGAGCATAAAGAAAACTTTGGGGAGAGATAACATAGGATGACTTTTGGCGAGATGAAAAAATATTTTTGGATATCCTGACTTTTTGGATTAGGATATCCAGACCCCTTATCTGAGGATACGGGAAGATTGATGATTACTTTATGAGATCATATAAATTAAAAAAGATGTAAAATTTCGGCATTGTTTTTTATATTCGGTTCTCTTTTATATTTTCATTGCATAAATCTGTCAAAAAAAAACTTGTTTTATTTTAGCAAATTTAATCAAATAATTTTAATTTTTAGAAATTTAGAAAAGACATTAAGCTGAAACTCTCTGACGAAAGAGATTTTTTCTTAGTTTTAATAGAATTATAATTACATCTCAGTCTCGATTATGAAATTAAAGCAAGGAAGGAAGAAAGCAACACCAAAAATCAAAATACATAATCGTACATATATGATCGTACAAAAATGTATATGTAAATGAGTTTTTGTGTAGAAAAATGCACTTTCTTGACAAATTTTGTAAAAATTATTCAGTCGTCTTAATTAGGGCCTTTATAATGAAATTTGCCGCCGAGTCATGTCACTTGAGTTAAGTGGAAGTCATGAGAATCAGAGGCTTCATATGCTTGCACTTGCCGAATCGGCTAAAATTATCTCTAGCCTATAGTCTTAAAGCTTTGGACAACCTGGGAAGTTGTCTTAATTAAGAGACTTACGCGCATGTAAGGGCATGCTCCGCCTTTATGGACATGTTTGCCAAGACTATGGGGCCGTTTAAATAAGCGTTGAATCCCCAGAAACAACCAGTTTAAATTAATTTTTATTTTTTAATTTATTAAATTCCCAAGAATAAAATAGCCAATCTTTAATTTTTTAAATTTATTTTCTATAATATTTGACAAATTTTCCAGATGATTTTCTTAAAACTATTATATTCATTCTTCAAAAAAAGAATGATTTTCTTTTTGATTCTTTCTTTGATTTGCATTGAATATGCAATTGGAATGCAAGGGGAAAGATCCCCTAAAAGAGGAAGGCGTCATGGAGAAGATGTTGGAAATCATGAACACGAAAAGCGACATAATGCTGGAGTTGCAGGAAATTCTAAAGGAACTGGAAAGCATTTTAAAGATAAAGGGACAGGAAGTCCTAAAAGTGGAAAGCATCTAGGAGACAATGGGAACCGAGAAGGGAAAGAAATTCGATGTAATTTACAAATATTTAGCCTATGTTATCTTATAATTTACAGTAAAAAAATTTTATGTAAGAGATAAGATGAGTACATCCCAAGGTATCGGAAGCTAAAACTTCGTTCAAAATTGTCGGATGCGGGAGCATATTTTATGCTCTTGACGAGCTGAAGTAACCACCAATTTTGAGTTGGCCTGCTCGCAGCCTGCTAAGCTCACATCAGTCCCTGACTGTCACCGATCCTCGACCACTTAGCAGTTATCGAGGAAATTCTCTATGTTTCTCGATAAATGAAGAGAGCCAAGCGCTCTGCGTTATCGACTGAGGGGTTCTCAGCTACTGAGTTACCGGGCACTGCCCTATTTAAATTCATATATTTTTCCAGCTGGATCTTATCTCTTTACGTAATATTTAACCTTAATTTAGATGATGGAGGTTCTGTCAAAGTTTTAGAAGATGTGTATCCTGGTTTTCTTAAAGGCTCTGTCCATAATCTTGAGGACATTCTCAAGAAGTTACATATTTTAAAAGTGGAATGTATGTTTTTCGATAAATGAAAATATTAATAATTAATAATTCCTATTTTTTAGATAAAGGGGAAGGACAAGTTGACATCAAAGAAAAATATTTAAATATACCAGGAATTGAGAAAGGGGAAATAATGAATATTAAAGATCTTCTCGGATTTATTGTTGATTGGGAAAATAGTGATATTATAGATACTGAGTGGAAGGTTCAAGGAAAGCCTTCGAAGGATCCAACTTTTGAACCTCTATTTGGAAGTACTGTAAGTTTTAGGCGTTTTAAATGAATTTAAATTAGGTAGCATCACTGAGATTATTGAAAAAATGACTCTCGGTTAACGAACATCGCGATATGGCCAACTTTCCCTTTGGTCTCGTTGAGATTATTATATTTAGTAGAGTTTCAGCGAAAGTTCCGGTTTCGGTTCCGTAAAGTTCCGGTGTTTTTTGGCTCCGGTTCCGTTTCCGGGAACTATAACTCAAATTGGATCCGGTTCCTGTCAAAATTTCGGTTCCGGTGAAACATAAATACATAAATGTATTTAGATTCAAATAA